AATCCGATAAATTTGATCGGATAGTCTTATAAATCCGATCAAAATCAATCGGAAATATCTGTTTGTTACTTTTTGAACGGACATTTTTCTCAGTGTACGATTATGCATATGTGCACTTATAAAACATTCTGTCCATGTATATGTTTCTTACATTCTACTAATGTAAGACATATACATATTTTAGGACAATGCGCCAATCGTTGTAATGGAGCTGAGACACATATAAAAATTTACTTTGTAAATGTCCTGCAGCAGCCTTTTTATGTGTCAAATTGCTCCACGATTGCACATTTTCATACATTGCTTCAGAGAATTCCAAATTCTCCCTGCAGAAACGTTCAGTAGAGTTTTGCGTACAAACGACGATCGCCTCTGACGTTAGGGTCTTCATTATTGCTACTTGTTTTATCCATATATACCATTTCCGTTTTCTTGTCAGACGATTCGTCTACCGCCTTTTCCGTGGTATCCTATAAAACATCGCACATGTAAGTTGTGATAAAAATGCCCTTCAAAATATTCTCCTTCCAACCGCAGAAATAATTAAAAAGTTTTAAGAATCATATATATACCGTTGTGGGTGCACGCCTTTTCTTCTTGAAATGTAGGAACAGTATAGTACCAATTAAACCTAATCCGATGACTATCATAGCTATACCGATACTCAGCATCACAGTTGGAAGTGCTAGTAATTTTTTTAAATTAGAAGCCATCTCCTCGGGAATTTGTACTTTCAGCTCGAACCAAATCATTGGTATGTAGATCTTAGGTACATTGTTGAAGATTCTAAACAAATCAGTTTTTTCTTTTCATTTAACCCGGCGTCATTGTGGTGCTAAAATGTTATACGGAGGTGAATCATGATAACCCGAATTTTTTTTTGGTCTATTCTCACAATATCAACAATGGTTTTAGAAAGTCTTAGCTTCAGCTACAGGGCGGTTAGTTAAAATCTACGAAATATGTAAGAAAATATAGATGTTTAAAAATGTCTCGGGTTATTATGACCTAGCCACAATGATGCCGAGTTAATTACATAGCAAGAATGATTTTGCTCAAGTATCTAAAAATTTAGATATATATATACAAATCTGAAAATAATTTTGTTGGATTGTCAAAATAATTAGGATAGAGAAAAACATTTCTTTGGATGTAATAAATTTTATTGTATCCAAATAAATTTGTTATTTGGAATGGTCCAAACAAATCAATGTTTGGATCAATAAGTGCGATTGTTTGAATTTGAAACAATGTATATCTTTGTCTTAAATACATTTGAACAGATAGTATTTATCTTCAATATTCACGTGATCAGCTGTACGGCACAAACATAATTGATGTAGCACATAGCATTGCTCGTTTAATCCTGTTGTTAGACGTATAAGCCATTGTTTCCATAATTTCGGTCAAAAAATGTAATGATTATTCTAAGAAAGCAATTATTTGCATGATGGAATAACCTAATCTCTTTGAATATATTTTGCCATTTTCAAATAAACAATTTGTTTCATTGTTTGTATTCATTGTGACCAAATAATATATTATTTAATTGAAAAATATTACTTCAGATAATGTTATTTCTGTCAAACAATAGAGATTTCTCAATGAAACAACAAAATTTTTATTCAAATAAATAATATTTCGTACAAGCATATGTTGTTTCAATAAAACAAATTTTAGTCAAATAAATAGGAATACTAAAAATAAATCCAAAGAAACCTTTTTCTCTGTGTATGTAAGGAATTAAATCACGATGAGCAAAACTGCGAACAAATTTGGACATTCTAGCATCCACATTAAATAAAATTTACTTTTAAATCTGTATCTAGCTTAGATACTCTAGCAAAACCGTTCTTCTCGTATGGATAAAATTAGATACACGTGCACTGAGAAAATATCCAGTGCTTTTGATCGGAAATAATCGTCCTAGTGCTTTCTCCGATCAATTTCGATTGGATTCAGGATTATCCGATGAAGTGACAAACACCTTTCTCCAATCAAATGTAATTTCTGATTACATGAGAACGGAATATGAATCGTCATATGCGTAGCCGTTAAAATTTCATCGGATAAACCTACAACTTGATCGGATATTAGACTTGAACGGATAAAAACAGAGTATTTTATCTGATTAGGTTTGATATCCAGCTCTATAAAGCTAGCAGGACTAAATCGGCAGAATCAAATCGGACCTATCGAAATTTTTAGTACTCATTTTGTACTAAATTGTACCATTA